ACCAGACAGCCAAGCCGGCTGGGACGATTATTGGCCCAACCTCCAAGATCTGTACACCTCCAGAGTAAGGAAAAGGGCTAAGAAAATCACTTTGGACCCCACACACCCAGCCCACTCTCTTTTCGACCATAATTTTCTGTTTTTCTTATATTACTGTTATACTTCCTGTGTATGTCTGCACTGTCATGTATGTTTGCACTATGTCCATACTTTCTTCTGCACTGGAAGCTCCTGTCGTCAAGTCAAATTCATTGTGTCTGTAAACATACATGGTAATAAAGCTCTTTCTGACTTTCTGACAAGGGAGAAGGAGAGGTAGGGGGCAAAAGGCAAAGGGCTGTATGTTTTTTTTTGTTTTGCTTTTTTTAAATACTTCATATTGTCATACAGCCCTTTGCCCTCTACCTCTCCTTCTCCCTTGTCAGAAAGTCAGAAAGAGCTTTATTACCATGTATGTTTACAGACACAGACATTTTCATTTTTCATTTTGTCAATAAAGCCTTTAGTGCATCAATTCTGTCACTTTTCTTTTACATTCCATAAAGTACTGATGACTCCTTCACTATGCTGTACACATACGATCTAAAATGAATCCACACATTTACACACACACAAAAAATGTAGAGTTCAGCTGACTGAATTATTATTATTATTATTATTATTATTATTATTTATTTTGTTTTTTTGTTAAATGGATCTCATATTGTATGTTCTATACAGGTCGAACTGAGACATGACAAGTAATGCAGTTTTTGTAATGCCATGAATTGTTATGATTTTGACAGTCGACAATGTTCCTATTGGATAGAAAACCAGTGCCAATGTTTTGACTCGATTTTGATTTGGGTTTGCTGTGTTTTGCTAAAGTTAGTAAATGTAGAAAAAGGTATTCGGCATTTTGAAACGTAGAGTTTGTATTTATTTAACAAAATGTGGTTTTGGCCAGAAAATGAACTATTTGGCTAATTGTGTGATGTAGGTGTGTTGCTGTGTTAAGAGTTTAGAAAAAATTACTTTAAGTATTGGTAAATGCTTGTTAGCAATTGAAAAAAAACTGTATGTGAAAATACAAAATATACAGGAAAATAAACAGGGAAAGCCACTGAAGAATTAAAAAAATAAATCAATGTGACCTAATCTGCCCAATCTTCTGTGTTTGGCCACATGTTCACATCCACATCACACCTGATATCTTCTCTGGCAAGGCATCTTGGGAAGAATCTTTTGGTATGCCTTATCCTTCCTGGTATTGTTCAGCTGTAATGTCTTGGCATGGAGCATCCATTACATCCTGGAGGGACATTTGGCCCTGTGGACGATGGTCAAAAACCTTCCATCTCCAGGCTCAGAAAAACTCCTCAATGGGGTTGAGGAAAGGGGAGTAAGGGCCAAGGAAAAGAGACATCATTGACTGACTGCACTGCGAATGTGGAATGCCACATTGTTCCATGTGATCACATATATTGGCAAATGATCTCCCACCTGTCCCCTTTCTCTGGCACCAGTCTTTGGTACAGATCTTCTAAAATCTCACATTTATGCGAGTGCACTTTTCCACACAAGATCAGCCCAAAAAGGTCCTATTTTACTGTATATCATATGGTCATGCGACTGAAAGAACCTCAACACCTGAGTGTGTTTCCTAGATGGGAATCAGCTGTAATTTATATATTTGCATAACTTCAATCAGCTGTTTCTCATTAGCTATGGAATAAAATAAAATACAGGGGACATATCTGTGCTTCAATTCACAATGTGAACAGCTGTTCACTTTGACTTTAGCCTATAAGTTAGTTTTAGAACATGATGTTATCTGTTCTGACATACAGTGTGAAAGCATTCGAAAATTTGCCAGTAAAATTACATTGTTTTGGTCTTGGTTGAGCTTGTGTGTAAAAGTTCAAGCATTTTACATTTGTGTTAACTGTATGCATTTTGTGTCAAAGCAACAAGAAATGTGTTAATTGTATAGCTTACACAGACATATGTTGTGCTAACTGTGTTAAGAGTTTAGGAAAATTGTTAAAAGTATTGAAAAAATTGTCATAGCGATCGTAAAAAACTGTACAATGAAGGACCATGTGAGACTCAAGACTGGAGTAATGAAGCTGAAAATTAAGCTTTGCCATAACAGGAATATATTAAAATATATTACAACAGAAATTAGTTGGTTTAAATTGTAATAATATTTCACAATATTACTGTTTTGCTGTATTCTTGATTAATTAAATGCAACCTTAGAGAACATTTCTTTCAAAAACATTAAACATTCTTACTAATCCCATTAAGTTTTGAATAGTAGAGTATATATAATCTTTAAATAGTATTATTATATATTATGTCACCAATTTGATGTAAAGTGATACTGTTTGGTTTAGAAACAGTCAACATTCACAAACACAGACAGACAGACAGACAGGCAATTCAAAAGTTTAAATTCTTAATAAGTAGGCTACAGCTTGAAAATTCCTATAGAATCACAACCTCTGTGACCTCGACTTAACCAACAGAAGCTGCAATTCTTTTATCCAAGACCAACATACAAATATAGTTAACCCTACATAAAGATGCTAAAGGAGAACAGAAACTAGACTCCTGGTCAATCAATAAAGGTGATCTGATTGCTGTTTCACTCTGTTTCCTGCATGTTTGTGGTTGGAGAAACCCCAAGCATGCCCTTAACCCACAAATGTGGTGAGGGATCCATGCAGAATGGATTTTTATGTAGGAACCATTAAGTCTGATGACTGTATACACTGAATGGTTCAATGAGACCAGCTGCATCTAGTCCAGCACTTTACTTTGATATTCCCATATTCCAGCATGTCAGGATCATTCCTGTTATGTTGGTTATTTTTATGACGGCAAGAAAAGAAACAGAAAGGACCCTAACAGAAAGATAATAAAGAGCTAAAATTATCAATTTCTCAGTTGTGGATTGATATAAGGCTTGTTGTTGTTTTAACACCAAAATTATGTCACTTTTTGGAGGAAAACTGGCATTTGTTAATTAAAGAAAATTAACTTTACAGGACGGACAGTAAAATATATTTTTAAATATATTCCATATATATGTGGAATATATTTCCACTAGGCTATACTGATAAAAAATGTATAGCCTGAATGCACTGTAAGTCGCTTTGGATAAAAGCGTCTGCTAAATGCATATATGTAATTTAAATGTAATATGTCATGCCCCTGGACTGTCTTTGTTGTGTTTTCCCTCCCCATGTGCTCCGTGACCCAGTTTCTCCCTCGTGTTGATTGTTCATGGATTTCAGGTGTGTCTTGTCATTAGCCCCTCATTTTCCTGTGTATTTAGCCCCAGTCTGTGCAGTCTGTGTTTTGTCGGGTCTTCCCTTGCCTCCGTTGTCTGTTTGTCTAGAATCCCTTGCCTCCGCCTCCAGCCTCCAAGCCCCGGACTCCGCCTCGGGCCGTCGACCCAGCGGCTCCACCATGGCTCCTAGCTCCCTCCTCTCCGCCATGGCCCATCAGTCCACTTGCTCCGCTGGGCTCCCTCTTCACTCCTGCTTCGCATTGGTCTGTCGTCGACCATCCGTCGCCTCGGGACTCCACTCCTCCGGCTGCGCCTCGTCCCTCTGACTCTGTCAGGCTCCTCCATCCCTTCGGCTCCTCCTTGGTCCTCTGTCGCTCCGGCTCCACCGTGGCCTTTCGGATCCCCACCTCCGCGTTGGTCACCGGGGCCATTAGTTCCGCCTCGGCCCTCCGGATCCTCCTCGTCACCCTGGCCCATCGGCTCTCCGTCTCCGCCTTGGGCTCCTCTGCCACCTGCTCCACCTCCATTGGTCGGCCCCTTGGAGTCGTCAGCCCTTCCTCCACCATGGCTCCTCCCTTCGTCAGTTCCACCGTGGGTCGACACTTCGGCTGTGGCCTGGGTCCCACCTGGCACCGCCTGGTCCAAGTACCTCCTGTCTCCTCCCTGGCTCCTCCCTCCTTCATCACATCCATGGTCTCTGTCTGCCGGCCCCCTCCCGGGTGTCCGTCCTCCTCCTGAGCCTCCTCCCAAGTTGAATATATATATATATATATATATATATATATATTATATAATATAATAACATTTCCTAAATGTTAATATATGTTCCTAAATTGATACTAATTAAAACTATATTCCTACAAAAATGTGATGTTTCCAACACTTTGATTTAAGAAAAGGAAAATTATTATTATTATTATTATTATTATGAAAAATCTATATTTCACAATACATTCTATAAATACTATAAACTTAAACAAATGAAAATAATAGTCCCATTTCCAATATATTTTCAATATTAAATTTTTGAATTTTAAGAAGAAAAAAAAAAAAGTTTTTCTTAGTAAAATGGCAAAACTGCTAACATTTGCACAAAATTAAATTGTGAAAAATAAAAATATATATCTCTCTCTCTCTCTCTCTCTCTCTCTCTCTCTCTATATATATATATATACAGTATATATATATATATAAACACACCAAATCTCTACATTTATCCATCAGTGGGATTTTCTAGATTACGGAATGAAAAGTCTGATCTTTACATACTTCATCTCTCCGAGCTCTTAAAGAATTAAATTTTACACAATAAAAACAATTCAAGAGACAAACTGAAGTGGTTCTGAAGGCAGAAGATGCCTCTACCACTCATTACACCATTATTACTTTTTTGCTAGGTCTTTTCATTATTCTCACTCCATAAAATTTTCTACACAAGCAACACATCAATCAAACTCCTATGCTATATACAATCATGTTTAGTCTCCATTCGTGTGTTTCAGCCTTTTCTATGAATAATATTTCCTTTATCACCCTTAATGAGCGAAAACTCCATGCATAGCATGTGTCCTGGAGCGGCACGGCTGAAAGCGTGTATACGTGCACGCGCCTAGTGGGTGACTTTTGGCAATGGCTTCTTCCATCTGTGAAGGGCTAGTACGTAGGGAGGAGGCTCACTGCAGAGGCTCTTCTCTGGCAAACATGTTTCTGGGTCTCCCCCTTCAACAGATGGACTTCCTAGGAAATTTAGACGCCTTTAACCACCATCCATCTCTATAACAACCATGCAAACCAATCAAAAGTGCTAATTTACACCCACCATAACACACGAAAAACCAAGCAACCAATTTCAGAATAAAATTGGTACCATCATTATGTGGGTCAGGGAGGTGAGTAAGAGTAATGTCAGCGTGTTCTCACAGTGTGGTCATAAAGCAAATAACTATTTGGAAAAAGGGCCTTACTACATCAGTCTGAGACAAATAACACTTGTGCTGCAGCTGAAGGGAAGAAATAATATGAAAGACACAAAATACATATTGCACACAAATCACTGGACAGCATCCAGCTCAATTA